TAAGGCCTTGTATAGTATCATGTCAGCTTAAGCACCGCTCCCTTCATGTACCAGTGGATACAATGGCGCTCTAGCAGGTCTAATGCATTGTGGTACCTTCACATTTCTCCAGGATCTGCACCGTGTCACCGATCTCCAGAGGCAAGCCGTGCTGTACCGTCCCCCGAAAACTGGCCAGCACTGCAATACAAAAACAGACACAGACAGAGAGGGTAAACAAACAGCTCATAAATCAGTCCACTCACCTCTGTAGAAAAGTAGGTTCCTGTAAACTCAATAACCCAGCTGCAGGGATGCACAGCAAACTGTGTGTGCTACTGGGCCCATGTGGACAGATTCGGCTAGTCTGCAGCGCTCTCCCTACCATTAAATAGGCCAGGCAGCCTACACTGAAGAGCTGAGCTCTATGCACAGGGTCATACAGAGTTCCTCTTTTCAGCTTTTCACAGTCGTCTACAAGCGAATATCACTGGGCAGTGATTCTAAACGATTGCCGTTAACTCTTCTACTAATTACAAATAATAGCTAATCAGAAAAAAAAAAAATCTGCTCAACAAAAACAACTATCAATAACTTGTTAATACAGCACTTGAGAGATATATATATATACACACACACACAACAAGGTGCAAACCACTGGTAACACTCAAGAAAGCCAGGAAAGCCAGATTAGACTTTCCCAGAAAACATCTAAAAAAGCCTCCCATGTTCTGCAATAAGATTCTTTGGAATTCAAGATTAACTTGTACCAGAATGATGGGAAGAGAAAAGTCTGGCGAAAGAAAAGAACAGCTCATGATCCAAAGTATACCACATCATGTGTCAAACATGGTGGAGGCAGTGTTATGGCATGGGCATGTATGGCTGCCAATGGAAGGGGCTCACTGGTGTTTATTGATGATGTGACTGCTGACAGAAGTAGCAAGATGAATTCTGACGTGTATAGGGCTACACTCTCTGCTCACATTCAGCCAGATGCTACAAAACTGATAGGACTGATGAATGACCCTAAACATACTGCGAAAGCAACTCAAGACTTTGTGAAGGCAAAGAAATGGAATATTCTTCATGGCCAAGTCAGTCGCCTGATCTCAACCCAATAGAGCTGCTTTTCACTTACTGAAGACAAGACTGAAGGCAGAAAGACCCACAAACAAGCAGCAACTGAAGGTGGCTGCAGTGAAGGCTGGCAAAGCATCTCCAGGGAGGAGACTCAGAATTTGAGTTTTGAGAACATGGGCTCCAGACTTCAGGCAGTCATTGACTGCAAAGGATTTTCATCCAAGTATTAAAATTATGGTTATATTTACAATTATGTCACTTTGTCCAAATACCTTTGAGCCCCTGAAACTGGAGATACTTTGCTTAAAATGGCTGTAATTCCTAAATGGTAAATGCCATATTTTTGTGGAACCTCTTAAAGTAAAGCTGAAAGTCTGCACTTCAATCACATCTTGATTGTTTTATTTCAAATCCATTGTGGTGGTGTATAAAGGCAAAATGACTAAAACTATGTCATTGTCCAAATACTTCCAGACCTGATTGTGTGTGTATGTATATATATATATATATATACTGTATATATAGTGTTTAACATTTATATTGTCTTCTTCTTCCTCTTTCGGCCGTTAGGGGTCGCCACCGCAGATCATTGGTCCGCGTATTTGATTTGGCACAGTTTTTACGCCGGATGCCCTTTCTGACGCAACCCTCCCCAATTTTATCCGAGCTTGGGACCGGCACCGAGAGCGCACTACTGCACGCAACCACTGGGGTTGGTTCCCTGGCTGGGAATCGAAGCCGGGCCACAGCGCCTCACCGCTGTGGCCTAACCACTACTCCACCAGGGACTGGTTAACATTGATATTGTATATATCGTGTGTGTGTGTGACCAAGTAGCTACTCTGCTACTTGGTCAATAAATAAGGAATAAAATACAACAGGGTGTGCTGTAGATACGACTCAATGTGAAGTAGGGTTCCTGTTACCACCCCAAAGTTGTGCCAATGATTGCGTTATTTAAATGTATTAATGAACAACATGTTGTGTAGAATGTCTGCAAAACAAGCTAGCTCCTGTTATCACAACAGCAGCAAAGGGTCTATCACTCAACCTGAAGGAAAATCCAAGGCAAACGATTGTGGATGGCTTTGAAAGAAAATTCAGTGTTCAGAGTTCAACTTCTGTAAGTGCTGTTGTGAGTTCAGTCCCCAGGATCTCCAGCCTGCCAGTGTTCACCTCAACTGTGTGTCGATTTGGATAAAAAAAAGACTGCCAAATGAGTAAATGTAAATGTAAATGTATATGTGATGCTGGCAGACATGAAGGAAGAAGTCAAACTTCTCTTCTGACGTTCAAACAGTATAGCAGTCTGCTCTATAGTGCCATGGTATAGTGTTGAGAGAAATAAGATGGAGGAACAAGAAAAAGACACTGCAGCAAAAAGTTCAGGCAAGCGTCTGGGTAAAAACAGAAGAGAAAAACAGACTAGATAGAAAAAGTATAGAGAGTGATTAAGAGCAATAGAGAGAAGATCAGTTCTTATTCGAAGCAAATTACACTGCAGCTACAGCTTTTTAGCACGAGTCCCAATTTTGAGGACACAATGAGGCATACCTGTGCCATTATCACACTATTTCGATCATGCACTCTCTTTAGTGTGGATCATTAAGCATAAATTTGTCATCAAGTTCAGCTACCATGCAATAAAACAGAGTGGCTGTGGGTCTCTCAAATCCACACAGTAAGCATAATGGAGATAAAGTGCTCCCTGGGTAATAAATATTTATTTATATGGACGTTTGATTAGAACAGTAAGTTATTTTTCCACTAAATTGGTTGTTTGTTCACTACATTTTTACAGGTTTGTTCTCTGGTTTATTTAGTAACAGTTTATTTATGCAATTATTCATGTCTGATGACTT